CGCAGTTTAATAGTAATCAATGGATGTCCTACTGTCCTACCTCGCAGCAGTTGCTACAAAAGCACACATTTGTGGGAAAAGTCACTTGTGTGGGTCAACCGTGAACTTAAACTGCCGCAGCGCTCACTGCCTTCCTGTACACTAAGCATTGCAGAGCTGGATCATTTCATAAAATTCCATTTTTACCTTGCACTGAGACACGAGGACAGGTCCCTTACAGACCTCACCTGGCTTTTTATGTTAGATCACAGAGCAGCTCGTGATCCACCATTACCGCCATGTTCTCGTCCTTTAAGCCGCAGCGTGTCTCCGTGCTTTGGTGGTACAAGCAGAGGACTGCGTCCTTTGAAACTTTGCCCTGAACATGTATTCCTTTTCATTTTATTGGGATTTGGATCCCCTCATTATTACCCATGTTTGAACATGATAGGTGGACTTTCCCTGCAGGGACGTGATGAGACGGGCAGCGGCGGCTTTGAAAAGCGCAGTTAAAGCAGCAGCGTGAGACAGCCTACTTTTTCAGAGCCACTGCTAATTAGAATAAGACAAGACCTAGTCCTCAGTCTGCCCAATTAAAGCTGAACCAAAGCCTGCCTTTTAAAAGGAATGTATTAAGTCATGCCAGGTAATGGGTCACTTTTGGTTCCATTGCCTGCTTTGATCATTCTCCTGTGTGGAAGCAGGAGCTGCTGTATGAGCTATAATGATGATGGAAAGTCTTTAGAACGAAACCTCTCTGGTATCGCGCTGTCTTCATGTCTTCATGTCTTCATGGAAGTGCGTTCTCAGAAGTTATTAGCTGTATCATTTATCAGCTGTCAGTTTGTTCTTGTACGATAACGATGTTGGAGGCTCCGTTGATGTGGTTTTATTGTTCTTGCTTATGTTGTCCATTCAGCTATATTGCCTTTATAAATGATGCCTAGGTAAAGATGAAAAAAGACAGTTACATTTGATGTTGCAGTGCTGCTCAAGTTAAGCACTGACTGATATGAAAAGTTGCCAGTGCAATTTTAAGGGGCGGAAAAGTTCTGATAACTGATATCAGCTGATATAATTTTACTTTTTATTTCATATTTTATTTGTATACCACAGTAGATTTATTTACTAAAATGATTGTTAGTTGTCAAGTGTAAAATGTGAAATGTGACAATGTTCATGTTTCGTAAGCAGCAGAAAAGAAACGGTTAAGCAACACCCTAGCAACTACCTGGGATACTATAGCATTGGCCCAGCAACACCTTAGCAACTACCTGGGATACTATAGCAATGGCCCAGCAACACCTTAGCAACTACCTGGGACACCATAGCAATAGCCTAGAAACATCTTAGCAATGGCCTAGCAACACTTTAGCAGCCACCTGGGATACCATAGCAATGGCCTAGCGAGACCTTAGCAACTACCTGGGACACCATAGCAATAGCCTAGCAACACTTTAGCAACTACCTGGAATATCATAGCATTGGCCCAGCATCACCTTAGCAACTACCTGGGATACCATAGCAATAGCTTAGCAACATCTTAGCAATGGCCTAGCAACACCTTAGCAGCCACCTGGGATACCATAGCAATGGCCTAGCAAGACCTTAGCAACTACCTGGGACACCATAGCAATAGCCTGGCAACATCTTAGCAATAGCCTAGCAACACCTTAGGAACTACCTAGGATGCCATAGCAACACCTTAGTAACCACCTGGAATACCATAGCAATTAAAATAATTATTAATGTATTACTGCCAATATTGTCCTCTATGCAAAAAAATACAGTCTGTACTGTAGTTCAGTTGATATAACAGTCAGACTCATATCAGACAGACATTCCTGTTTCATGGATCATTCCCAGTTTAACACTGTAATCCAGTTTTTTCAGTTATGATATTGAGAGCGTATTTTGTAGACTATTCAGTTAAACCTGATTACATGTTTTTTAAAAAAATAAATAAATAAAAATTGTATCTTCTTAATGAACTGGCAATGATTATGTGGCCGTTGGCTCAGTAATAATGCATTTTTGATCCCATTGTGTTGTTTAACCTCTAAAACTGTTGTTATTTAATGAATCGTCAAATAATCTGTAGATTACTGAATCACTAATAATCAGTAGTGACAGTCCAACACTGCAGTCATGTTTTTTTTTTCCTTTGTTTTTGAATTTGGTGTCAAGTGTTTGATGGCCGAGCATTCGCTGTCCCTCAGTACTACGTGTGTCATTCAAAGTCCAGCAAAGTTGAACTTTATAGTGTAATAATGATCCTAGAATACAGCATATTATCAGTATTCACGCTCATTATTGCATTTCTTCATGCAAATTATCCCAAATCCATCTTTCATATCTTTCCTTTGGGTGTAGTTGCACTCCAAGGCTGTTGTACTGACAGAGTTATTTTCTCTTGAAGTCTTCTTCTTTATGTTGCTGTCCTCCTCAGAATATAAATGGGGTAACCCACTGTTTTATGGAGCCTTAACACAATGGGAGCTCTCTGATGTTGATGCCCTCTGTGGCACGCTACAACATGAGACCATCTCTCCAGTAATGATGGAAGATAAAATATGAAACACGACTTTGCACATCCAACCTTCAGTCTCGACAAACTTCAGTTCAGCAGAGCCTTTCAGTTTCTATCCAGATTACCTTGCGAGCCTTTTATAGCAAAACTCACGCGCTCTGTACAAACTTACTCATTTAATTATAGATGATAGATCTTTTAACAAGGCTTACTTGGAATTCTCTGGCTTTGTAACTCACGCTTTGCTGAAAAGTAGGGCTGTCACTGTAGTGAGGTGTCAGTGTTATGCTAAAACACAGGGGAGGCCATCATTTCCACCATGAGCAGTGCTCTTTATCAAACACCAGGGCAGAAAGTTAAAAATAAAGCACTGAACTTGTGGGGGAGGTCACCACCAGCTATACGCTTCACCCTTATGGTGACCACCAACCCACACTAACTAAACCCAAACAGTAACAACATGAACAATAAAATTAACAACATTTAAGTCCCTTTTTTTCATGAGTATTCAGATGCTAAACAATAAAAATGGGCTTAACCAGAGAACAACAAACCATCCAGATAAAAGATAAACTAGCATTTAGAAAAACTTAAAAATGTATATAAATGTAAGCATCAGGCTTTTACTATAGAGCAATGCTGCTGTAATACACGCAGAATGTGGTTTGACACTGTCTTGCTGAAATAATCAAGGCCTTCCCTGAAAAAGACGTCGTCTGGATGGCAGCATATGAGGCCAAAACATGTATATATCATTCAGCATTAATGGTCCCTTCACAGATGTGCACGTCACCCATGCCATGTGCACTAATGCCCCCCTAAACCATCATGAATACTGGCTTTTGAACTGTGAACTGATAACAAGCTGAGTGGTCTTTAGTCCGGAGGACACAGTGTCCATGATTTCCAAAAGAATTTCAAATTTTGATTCGTCGGACCACAGGACACTTTTCCACTTCACCTCAGTCCATTTTAAATGAGCTCAGGCCCAGAGAAGGTGGCAGCATTTCTGGATCCTGTTTATATATGGTTTCTTCTTTGCGTTTTAGGGTTTTAACTTGCATTTGTGGATGCAGTGATGAACTGTTTTCACAGACAGTGGTTTTCAGAAGTGTTTCTGAGCTCATGCAGTGATTTCCACTACAGAATCATGTCTGTTTTTAATGCAGTGCTGTCTGAGGGCCCAAAGATCACGGCCAGCTAATACTGGTTTTTGGCCTTGTCCCTTACATACAGAGATTTCTCCAGATTCTCTGAGTCTTTTAATGATATTATGTACCGTAGATGATGAAAAGCAAAAGTTCTTTGCTGTTTTATGTTGAGAAACGTTTTTCTTGAATTGTTACACTATTTGATGGTGCAGTCTTTCACAGAGTGGTGAACCCCTCCTCATCTTTACTTCTGTAAGACTCCGCCTCTCTGAGATGCTCTTTATACCCAATCATGTTACTGACCTGTTGCCAATCAACCACCAGGTGTATTTTTAGCATTACACAACTTTACCAGCCTTTTGTTCCCCCATCCCAACTTTTTTGGAACGTGTTGCTGGCATCAAATTCAAAATGGGCAAATATTTTTCAAAGAACAATAAAATTTCTCAGTTTCAACGTTTGATATGTTGTGTTTGTGTTATTTTTAAATAAAATATAGGATTTAAATGATTTGCACATCATTGCATTTTTCCCAACTTTTTTGGAAATGGGGTTGTACATGGTAAAGTTTGGTGGAGGGGGGATAATGAGCTGGGGCTGTTTTTCAGCGTTTCAGGGTAATATTAATGCTACAGTATACAATGGCGTATTGTAAGCATACAATGGTCTAAAATGTCTTTGTGTGCTGTAGCATTAATGTTACCCCTCACTGGAACTAAGGGGTTCAAACCCTGAAAAAACAGCCCCAGCTCATTATCCCTCCTCCACCAAACTTTACTGTTCCAGTATGACTGAGCCCCAGTGCACAAAGCGAGCTTCAAAAAGACATGAAATGACCAGTTTGGTGTGGAGGAACCCCAGTGGCCCTCACAGAGCCCTGACCTCAACCCTGCTGAACACCTTTGGGATGAACTAGAACGGAGATTGTGGGCCAGACCCTCACGTCCAACATCAGTGTCTGACCTCACAAATGATCTTCTGGATGAATGGGCAGAAATTCCCACAGACTCTCCAACATCTTGTAGAAGCTTCCCAGAAGAGTGGAAGCTGTTACAGCTGCAAAGGGGGACCAACTCCATATTAATGTCCATGGATTTGGAATGAGATGTCCAACAAGGTGTGATGGTCAGGTGTCCACATACTTTTGGCCATATGGTGTGTGTATTATCATTAGGCAGAATGACGATCATTGCTGATTCATGGAGAAAGTCAACTTAAAGCAAAGATGCATCTTTAATCAAGCAATCACGTTTAGTGAAGTAACCCTGACAGCTTTATTGAAAAGTTAATAAAGTTGCCAGTTTCCTAATAGGTATAAATTCACTGCTGCTCTCTTTCAGACGCCGCATATGGGAGATATTCCGGTGATTCTTTCCTGGAGTTTGAGGGCATCGACCTGGGAGCTGTGAACAATATCACAGTGCGGTTTCAGACGTGGTCTTGGAACGGAACGCTCCTGTATGTGGACCAAGGACGCGTACGCAGAGGCTTCTTCTTCATCAAACTCCACCTTTTCAATGGAACGCTACAGGTGAGGATATACAGGTAACGTACTGTACGGTGTGTCTGACACGTCTGTTTACTGCAGCGTGAGATTACAGCATTATAAAAACCACCATGTGCTTCAGAGTCTTTCAGTTAGAGCCTGAATTATATCAGAAAATCGGTAAATGAATGTTTTCGTTCATTTTGTACTAACTTCTTTCTTCCCTTGTTCAGTATGATTTCTCCTGTAACCAAGAAGAAGGGATTCGGAGGATTAACACCAACATACAAGTCAACGATGGCAATGAGTATCTGGCGCATGTGAGGTAAAAGAGTAGTTTAAAGTTGTATGTAAAAGTTTGAACATCCCCCATAAAATTCCCTGTTGATTTTAGTGAAAATAAGTGTAAGCATCCTCTACAGAGACACACTTCTGCATACTTTAATACACAATTACTGTTTCTTTGCTTAACACATTGAGGAAAAAATAAAGCATAAAATATATGTCCTGTGCAAAATTTATGGCACACATGAAAACACGATAGACGCTTGCGGGTTAAAGTAGCACTCAGTTCATCTTTACTTGATGGTTTAAGGCAAAAAAGTTAAACTAATGGAAAAATAAGTCATACACAAAAAGGCTCACAGATAAGATGATGCTAAATACACAACCTGTACTTTGCGAAGACTGCTGCCTAAAGGATTATATACTCTCTAACTCAGGGGTCGCAACCCAAATGTTAAGAAGAACCATTTTGTCCTTCCTACAAAAATCTAACCACCTTGCTAGGCACAACATTACATGTTCGTTTTACCATCTTGGCTGTAAATGTGTCTCAGTATGTGCTGATGTACTAGTGTAGGATAAAAATATAATATAAACGAAAGTGCAGACTCACTTTGCTCTGCTTTAATCTTTAGCTCAGCTATAGCTGCTTTTCTCACATCTCCAGCAGGAAACCTTTCCACAAAAGTAGAACAGTTTCTTGTAAAATGTCTCTCAACGTTCGACTTTTTATGAGGCTGAAGTCGCCTCTCATTCACCAGCTTCTTGTTCAAATTTTCCTGTTCCACCTTAGATGATGCCTGAGGTGCCAGAGTGTAACTGCTGCACCATTTAAGGTGGAACGGGAGACTTTTTCGTGTTTGTCAGTTTCTCATTGCAGATTAAACGTATCAGGAAACCAGCTGGAGTCATTATAAACACAAATAAGTCCATTTGTCTCCAAATTATCGATGTTCGTCTTAAATCTCTCTCTTTGCTGTTTCGTTAGCTACTAGCTAGGCGAGACTGTTGTCTGTGTTGCTATGGTGACCAGCAGTCTGCGCTGATCTTCAGGGTTAAAGGGTGAATCAGCAGTTCTACATTAACTCCAGAGTTTAAGACCATTTATTGTTAAACTGTGTTGAACGATCAGCAGAGCTTTATTTTACTGTAAAGGAGGATTATTTTATTTTTACCTACTAATCTGATTCAGCTGTGGAGCCACAACAGGACAGGAAAAGAGCTGCAGGTTGTCGACCCCTGATATAATTAAAGACATACAACAAGTAATGTGTGCAAGCTCTGGTGACGTGGAATGTTCGAAAGAGTTCTTATTGGCCGATGGTGATGAGTGTTGTCAGGTGGTCTCCCGCAGGAGAGGGAACGAGCGGAACAGGTGTCCTCAGTGGGAGGCGTGACAGTATTATATTTCATGTTTTTTTCCCCAGTATGTTAAGGCAGGGCAAATAAATTGAAATTATGCAAGAAATTAAGCAGGAAAATGTCATATTTACATATGTTCTTTGTAAAGGATGTTAGTTTATTTTTTTAACTTATCAACAAAACATTATTTTACCGGGGATGTTTAAACTTTTGCATACAGCCATCTGTCATAGTGCAATATTCATTCATGCTGTAAAATAATACTATTGTGTGTATTCAGAAAACTCCAGCTGACGTTTCTGTACCGTCAAACTGACGTCTGGTCAGAGTGTCCAGAAATGTAACTGTTATAATTTAATAACTTGAAAAATGGTGGTTAAATCATCAAAATCATTATTAATATCGTTAATAATGTCAGTTCATCGTCAGTAATATCAGTATCTATAATAAATAGGATGTAATGATAATAATAACAATAATTGAACATAGTTATTTAATTTAAAGATCAGAATTTGCATATTCAGATCTTATAAGCTCATTAGAAGTAAGTATAAATGGACAGATATTTGAGGATCAGGGGCTGTATTACAGAACCTTCCTATCTTTAGTCCTAAATTAATGTCTGACACGCTCAAGATAAGATTTTCACACATTTATACTACAGAAGGAGATCTTAATTTGGGACTTATACTTTATCATGTAGTATTTTATCTTATGTCAAGTTAGGAAATCCTAATCTATTCAGTCCTGGTTGAGAATGAATTGGTTACAGCAATACGCGCATGGCTTGGACATAAACATGCCCTGCTGTTTCTCCTAATGAACAGCCATATATTTAACTCTGTACTGTAGCATCAGCGTAAAGTAAGATACAAGGGAGGCTGCGATTCCACCAAGAGAAGTGCTGTTTATTAAACACCACGGCCGAAACACACAAACACTGAACTCAGAGGGCACCACCAGCCTCAGGCTTCACCCTGACGGTGACCAGCCCTCCAACACTAAACACCCACAGCCCAACACAAAATAACACAACAAACACCAACCAGATACCTTTAAGCCTCTAAAATCTCAGGCTAATTTCATGCTGAAGCTTTTCACTCAATAACTACAGGGACTTCAGTGCAAACTGGCTGAGCTGTTCTAGAAGTTTGTAACAAAACTTGGACCCTGCTGGTGGGCCCTGGTCATTTAAGGGGTTAACTGATGAACAACCACATTAACCACAGCTGATGGCCACGCCTTAGGAGCTGATGGCCACGCCTAAGGAGCTGATGGCCACACCTCAGAAGCTGACGGCCATGCCTTTAAATGCTGATGGCCATGCCTCAGGAGCTGATGGCCACGCCTCAGGAGCTGATGGCCACACCTCAGAAGCTGATGGCCATGCCTTTAAATGCTGATGGCCATGCCTCAGGAGCTGATGGCCACACCTCAGGAGCTGATGGCCACGCCTGAGAAGCTGATGGCCACGCCTTCAGGAGCTGATGGACGCGCCTTTAAATGCTGATGGCCACGCCTCAGAAGCTAATGGCCACGCCTCGAGAGCTGATGACCACGCCTCAGAAGCTGATGGCCATGCCTCAGAAGCAGATGGCCATGCCTTTAAATGCTGATGGCCGCGCCTCAGGAGCTGATGGCCACGTCTTTAAAAGCTGATGGCCACGCCTCAGAAGCTGATGGCCACGTCTTTAAAAGCTGATGGCCACGCCTCAGGAGCTGATGGCCACGCCTCAGAAGCTTATGGCCACACCTCGAGAGCCGATGGCCACGCCTCAGAAGCTTATGGCCACGCCGAGGGAGTATTTAGGAAGAGCTGACAGGTTCTTATCAGGTGGTAGGATAAGATGATGACCCTAGATGCCATGACTGGGCAGGTTTTCGTGGAGGGCAGCCGTCGTCTCATGATCATGCTGGAGTGAGCTTTGATTGTTTGCAAACTTTGGTGGCATCATTAATAGAATTTTGATTCTGCCCAATGGATCGTCATATCTCCACAACGCACATCGGCACAGCTTTCCATTGATATCAGTGTCACGCTGCACTGTTACACCCCCACAGCTGAATAAGGGCTAGTGTTAGACTGAATTAAGCTGAATAACAGTAAAATAAAAATGTAACAGGCATGTTGATATTTAGTTTTGCTGGCTTTATATGAATTGTGGTGGTCAGATCGTGCGATACCCTTAGAATACAGCAGTTCTGTGCATGTTGCTAGCGAGCCCTTCAGCTTGAGCCGTAGATGCTACGGTTGCTCCTTTTCAGCCACCTGTACAGGCCGTTCACTGAGATGTATCCACAAGAAATGATTTGAATTCCTGGCAAAAGCAGAGCTTTTCTAAACGGCCTAAACGCTCTTAATAAATATTTTCAAACCTCCTTACAGAGCCAGTTATTACCAGCACGTCAGTTTGAAAGCTCGTCTTGCTTTGAGAGATGCAGCTCCGCCCCAATCGTGAGCCACGCTTCTGTTGATTAATCTGATGTTTAGAAAAAGAGCAGACAAGTAATCAAATTAGTGGGCCATCATGGACGTTTCAGCTCTGTACTTTTGCGAGGTCTCTTTTATGTCTGGACATAAAATTTCACTCCAAGAAAAATAGCAGAAAGGTTTATTTACAGCAGACATGACAGACCACGAAGGATGTGATCATAAAATCTTTGAAATTTATGATTAAGTCCTCAAAGTTCAGAAAACTAGCAGCGTCGCTTCAGTGCCGTCACTGAAGGCTGGTGCTTCTTGATTCCCAGCCAACTCTGCATTTTAGGAGAATCAATCTGCCATGTTTATTTTTCATCAACAAATTTGATAAAGAAGCAGCGCTGAATGTCCAAACGGCTGCTGAAATTGGTCATTACTCAGTGCCGGTCATTTGTGAAAGGAAGAACTGAAAAGTAAACTTAGCAAAAGATAGGGTCCTAAATTCAGTCCTAAACTCCTAAAGAGGTAAGATAAGAGTTAAACGGGTGGTTTTAACCCATTTTCCTGTAGTTTTTTATTAATATTTGACAAGGAATTACAATTAATGATACACATAGTAATTAATTGTATACATAATTATGATTATTTACCAGTTAGTGGCTTCCAAGTTTGACAAGTTTGCATTTGCCATGTTTAAACAATGAAACATGACAAAAATGTTTTTTCTTTTCAAAGCTTAATTCGTACATTATGAGGTTCTGCAACGCTAAGTGGTGACAGATCCAGCAGATTTTTTGGGGGGTGGGTGATGAGGGGGAGAAAAGGGGTAGCAATGCAAAAAAATGAATTTGTGTCACGCTATGAAGGAGCATTAGACATGCAGCTCAGTGATAAGTCTTCTGACAGTGTGGTTCTTCAGCAAAGAACGTTCTTGATACAGACTGTTACCCTGCGTTCACGGCATTGTGGCCGAAGGACATTCATTTTCAATGAGAACTGCGATTTTTAGCGAGAGGAGGCGGCGCAAACGTTGGTGACGTGACAAAGTTGAGTGGAGTTTAACTTTATGCAAATAAGGAGCGACGCAACATAATGATTACCAATAGGAATTAAGCACTGAGCAGCGTAGTGCGCACTTTACCTCCTTTATCTCTGCCACTGTGAAATGGTGCGCTCCGTTTTTGGTTTCTAGATAGTTGTTCCTACTAGAGATGGAATAACGGTGACGGTACTTTTCCCGCAAATAGACAGTAAAA